CAAACGCTTCGTTACCGATCTACAGGGTGTTAAAGTTTGGAGATTTTTTTAGTTTTTATCTTATAACTTCTGCAGTTTTTGAGATATTTGGCCCAAATTCGGAATATAGGTTAGGCTATAAGGCTTACATCATTGGGCATGCCAAATGGTTATAAGAATCTACAGGGCGATACTTTTTTGTATGTCATGCTCCCCTTTTTTCCCAAGAACTTTTTTATGGTGCGCTGCTGGTAGATTTTAAAATACAAAATAAATTTTCTGTTTTGTTTAAAAACTTTTTGGTAACCTAAAGTTTTTTCGTATTTGCGACCGTTATCGAGAAAAATATGTAGAACAAAATTTGTGAGATGAAATTCAAATTTTTAAAAGGGTCTGGTTGGCTTTATTAATAATAACTTATTTTTATTTATTTTAACAATTTATTCTACACTTCTTGTTAAAAACAAAATGCTCTTTGTTAAAATGATTTATTATAATACAAAAAACTTAAATATTTAGAAAAACAAGAAAACTACATTACAACAATTGTTGAAAGTGACCTCCTCCAATTCTCACACAAGCATCTGCTCTTCTTCTCATTGATGCCCTTACTCTTTCAAACACCCCCGGAGTATTTCTTACGGTTTCAAATGCTTCTACTATCCGATTTTGTAAGTCATTTATATTATTAACTGGTGTTGCATAGACTAAAGATTTGAGATGCCCCCATAGGAAAAAATCCAGGCTGTTTAGGTCAGGAGACCTAGGGGGCCATGGCTGAGGTCCACCCCGTCCTATCCACCTGTTTTCATATGCTACATTTAAATACTCCCGAGCCAAAATAGAAAAATGTGCTGGGGCGCCATCGTGCATATACCAAATACGGTTTCTTAGCAAAACAGGCAAATCTTCTATTAAAAAAGGCAATTCATGTTGAAGAAAATGCCTATATGACTGAGCATTAAGTCGATTAGGCAAAAAGAAAGGACCAATCAAATAATCCCCAATTATACCACCCCATACATTTAACGAGAACTGTTCTTGAAAATGCGTTTCTACAATTTCATGTGGATTTTCTTCAGCCCATATGTGGTTGTTATGAAAATTTATAATTAAGTCTCTAGAAAAGTTGGCTTCGTCGGTAAAAAGGATTTTACAGTCAAAATTAGGGTCTCTTGCTAGCCTGGCAAGGTACCATCGGCAGAAATTAAGCCTTAATGGGAAATCTCGAGGAAGGAGCGCCTGCACCCTTTGAATGTGGTAAGGGTATAGCAGAGAATCACGCAGGATACGCCAAACAACTTGATGACTAATGTTGAAATGTTCACTAATTTTTCTAGTGCTAGTATCTGGATGCTCTTCTATTTCATTTAAAACAGCTTCTTCAATCTGTGGTGTTCTTACCGTATATTGTCTACCTGCATCATTGGTATTCTTTTTAAAAGTTCCACTTTCTGCAAGACGCCTATGAATATTTGTGAATGTTCGATGATCGGGTATTATTCTATTATCGGGATAGCGCTCCATGTACAGGCGTGTAGCTTCTCTTGCATTTCCATCCGCAAGGCCATAGATGAAATGCATGTCAGCCATTTCAGAATTCGTATAATTTGGCATTGTTACGGACTGATAAGAAATTTAATTATAACGAGTCTTTTAAATAATTTTACACCTTGCAGTTTAAAACTTTAAATGCGTGCTGTCAATAGCATCGTTTTTATGTATTTTTTTGATGTTGTAGACAGTGTGTTGTCTGTGATGTTGTATCCAATAGCTACATAAACCATTTTATTTCAGATTTGATATTTAATAAGTAGTGGCAGAAATGAATTCAAATCATGTTTAAAAGAGTACACCATTACAACAATTGTTGTAAGGTAATTTTCTAGTTTTTCTAAATATTTAAGTTTTTTGTATTAAAATAAATCATTGTAACCAAAACCGTTTTGTTTCTAATAAGAAGTATAGAAATATTATTTTAAAAATAAATAAAAATAAATTATTAATAAAGCCAACCAGATTATTTTAGAAATTTGAATTTCATCTCGCAAATGACAACAACTTGTGTTATATTTTTTTTCTCGATAATGGTTGCAGATACGAAAAAACTTTAGGTTACTAAAAAGTTTCTAAACAAAACAGAAAACTTATTTTGTATTTTAAAATCTACCAGCAGCGCACCATAAAAAAGTTCTTGGGAAAAAAGGGGAGCATGACATACAAAAAAGTATCGCCCTGTAGATTCTTATAACCATTTGGCATGCCCAATGATGTAAGCCTTATAGCCTAACCTATATTCCGAATTTGGGCCAAATATCTCAAAAACTGCAGAAGTTATAAGATAAAAACTAAAAAAATCTCCAAACTTTAACACCCTGTAGATCGGTAACGAAGCGTTTGCGGGCCCATGTTTATAGGAACTTTTATTCATAAAATAAGCCAAAGAACCACCCCCTTTTGTTTGTACATGATATTAAGGAACACCCTGTATATTACGTGTTAGAGGGTTTTTCGAGAAAATATGTTTAAAGCCTTTTTATTTAATAATGAAAAAAAATTCGAAATATAACTTTTAGGGAATTTTTTTAAATAAATAAAAAATATGCTGTTAAAGAGCGTATTTTTTTTTAGTACACCCTGAAAATTTTGTACAAATCAAACGAACATTAACGAAGATACAGCGCTTCAAAGTCGGTAAAAATGACGCCTTTTTGATTATTTTGCTGAAAAGTGGTCATTTTTCACGACTTTGAAGCGCTGTATCTTCGTTACTGTTTGCTTGATTTGTACAAATTTTTCAGGGTATACTAGAAAAAATACGCTCTTTAACAGAATATTTTTTATTTATTTAAAAAAATTCCCTAGAAGTGATTTTTCGAACCTATTTTCATTATTAAATAAAAAAGCTTTAAACATATTTTCTCGAAAAACCCTTGAACACGTAAATTGAGATATAAGTTGAAGTATTTTTATCCAAAATTTCATAAAGAATAGTAAAGGTGTTTTAGAGTTAATTTTTTTATTTATTATGCAATAATTTTGTAGGGCAGTGTATTTAAAAATAGTGATGAATTATAAGTCATTATTTAAAAATATTGTCTAAATTTATAATTATAGGCAAACTTGATTTAAAAGACCTAGACCAGAGTTGAGGAGCATCCGTGGAAAACCGGCTATATCCATTTTAATAAGTTGGGAAAATTTAGGAAAACTAAACCAAATTAAAAGTTGAAAAATTAAAAAAAGAAGTGGGGAAAATTGCTATTTAGTTTAGCATCCTATAAACAAGAAAAATGTATTACCAAGCAAATATTGTTTTATAGCTACATTATAAAGTTAAAGCTGCCTTTTATCCAATAAAAATCGTAGAAAAAATATTACTTTAGCCAAAACGGTTGATAAAATAATATTGTAATGGTAAGTATAAATGGACAATCCTTATCTAAAAGGAACCAAGCGCCAAAAACTATTTTTGGACTTAACAAAATTTTTTTGTAAAATAACTCATTTTTAATAATGCTCAAAAAGTTTATCATTATTAAGAACTTCTTTTAAATTATTGAGAGGACTTTCAAATTATAATTAAGTTTTTGAGCAGCATTAAAAATGAGTTAGGTATATACAAATAAGTTTGTTAAGCCCCGAACAAGTTTTTGGTTCCATTTAGATAAGCACTATCCAAATAAAGAACCCAATTTATTATTGTTGTTTGGTCGTTTGGTCGTTGTTTGCCTTGTATAAATAAATTGACCAGTTGTGAATGTTAATTGACAAATTGCCATGAGAAGCTATCTGTCAAAAAGCAGTTTTTGCAATTCAATGTTACATTAAACATCATACCGCTCTTTTTTAAATAAATTAAAAAATTTTTTTTTTAAATTATTTAAATGTAACATTGAATAATAATAATAATAATAATATATACAAATCCCCTTGTTTCCCCAATTAAAACTATGTAAAATATCTGGACAACTTGTAAAACCGCCCCAAAGAAAAATGCACTCTAAATAATATTTCAAAAATAAATAATTCTTTAAAATTAAGTGTATTACGAAAGTATTTAACAAAACATTGCCTTTTAATCCACGCCATGTAGTGAACAAAACATAATTTTGGGAATATAACATTTATTTTGAAAATCAGTAGATACAAATTTAAGAATCCCGCATTATTTTCCCCGCCTTCCTATCAAAAAGTCATCGAGCGTATAGTCCCCATTGTTGCCAGATGTACGGGCTTCGTATACTGCGTAATACTTATACAAAGCTGTATATAATCTCGTTTGACTCGTGTGCCCCCTACCGCCAAAGCATTGGAACTAAGGGTGTATATTTTGATAGGTTTGAATGGCATTAGGAAGCCCACCACTTTTTCGCCATTGAAACAAGGGGGCATCACTTAACTCTAAAACAAATTTATACACGCTAATTTTAGGAAGCCCGATTTCGGGCTTCGTAAAAACCGAGTGGGCTTCGTTTATACTGTAGAATGTAACGTTTCGGGCTTGGTAATGTAGGATTGCATATCTATATATATATATATATATATATATATATATTTAAATATATATATATATATATAAATTTATAACATAAAGAATGCGGGGCTAGCATTTCAAAAGCTTATAGCGCGTCCTCCATACCAGGCTTTAAAATTTAAAAAAATATATGCTAATATATAAATTTAAACAAAATTGGGCAACTTTTTAGTCAAATATGTGCTATGTTGCAAATATAAACACCTATTATAGGGCCATCTGCATATATTTTTTCTCTAGGGTATATTTTAATTATTTTAAAAGTAATAATATCCAACAATGTACTTAATAGTGTCATAAAATGATTGATTGGTAAATGAATGTAAATAATTAATAAGGACTGGGGGTGATTTAGATTAATTTTAATTAATAATAATTACTTATTGATTTTTTATTTATTACAAAATATTCTCTTTAAAATCATATATTATAATAAGCTAACTTAATCAAGTATTAACAATAAAATCAAGGACGGTATAATAGACTTTGGAATAAAACATAATATTGCAAAAAAACTAAATATACTTAGTTTTTAGATATATCTAAAAGCATCTAAAGTATTTAAATAATTCTTTATACGAATTTACATTTTCAAAATGTAAATATATATTTATAAATTAGCAAACCTAGATACAATTTATTTTAAATCATATAATATCATAAAAATTATCCCGTTAAAATTTACTGCTGAACGCACTACTATTTATTTTATAGGTGTTTTTCTGGATCCAAATCTTCGCAGGAATTCAATGTCTCTCTTGTAGGCACAACAGCAGGCTGATGGCAGTAAAAAAGTGTCGGGAAATGGACGTCCGTTGTCTGATATGGATAACATCCTTCGGTAAACGTATTTTTGTTTACACGCTGTTACATAACCATTAGGCAGGTCTCCTATTATATCACAAGCACTTCCTTGACTAAAAAATAAATAAATAAATAAATATATTATCAATTAAAATAACAGTAGACACAATTACTTATTTAATAAAAAGGATTATTGGAAATTAATATAGATAATTCCATTTTGTATAAACCTTCCTTATCTAGATAAATACTATTATCAATTGCATTCGTTGCAAGGTCGTTTTCAATATCAATAACATTTTAACATAAAGGGACTCAACCGTCCAAAAATTTCTGAATTAACCGTTATGGATTAAATAAAGAGTGATCTTGAATTATCTGAAGTCAAAAATAATTTGTCTAAAATAGATTGCAAGTAACAATGTTTTAAACATTCTCTGTTTGAGCGGCCGAGACATGTCGTCTAGAGCGCTTGTCTGTTCTTTTCTTTCTCCTCTAACATCACCGCTGACCGCTGCACAGTGTTTCAATTCTCGAAAATATCGGCAAAACCTCAAAAATTTACATTTTTTTTCAGGTAAATTTTGACTTAGATGGGTAGTTAATACCTGTCTCCATCCTATATTGAAAAAAAATTATTTTTTATTTTGTCTTGTAAATCAGTTTAAAGTTGACGCTTTCAGTTGAAGGTAATTTACACGCGATCGCTGCGGAAAATTGTTTATTGTTTAAAAGTGAATAACTTGTGTTTGGTGTGTCCGATTGTAATGCGGTTTGATGAAGGATGATCTTCAAGATATGTAAAATTCAGATATGTATTTGTTTTTCGTAGATTTGGCTTGTACAACGGGTTATTGTAACCGACAAGATCGGTCTGTTAAAATCGCAAACTTTGAATCGAGCTTTTAGAACAATGGAGCTACAAAAATTGTAATGAATTATAAGGCATCAGTTCAAGATCCGTTGAATAGCCTTAGAGTTTTGTCTATCAAGCCATCGATAAATTAACTGCCCCAACTCGCCCCCGGCTCTTTAAAACTACATGTTCTTGGGCGCTCAGGCACGGTTGTGGTAAAAAAACCTCGCGATTTTAAGCCTATGTCGCGCGCGTATCTGTGTTTTTGCTTTACAAAATATAAGATTTTTTTTTATTTCTGGGTTGCGTTCATGACGTTTACTCGATTCAGTCGGATTTAACTCAAAACGTTTATTACAAACAGCGCGCTGCAGCGGTGTCTAGACTTTTACTTGCGTAAATCGTTCGTGACTACTAAGATATTTAACACCGATTTTACATATTTAACCCACCTCTTGTAGGTGCCTTAAAACAACTCCGCATGCGCATTGTAGTGTGTTAATGTCAAATTTGAATTGTGGTTATTTGTGTTGACAATTTTTTTAGCGAATCCAGTGACGGAGATTGTTTAATATATAATATATATTAAACAATCTCCGTCACTGGATTCGCTACATATTATGTAGGTATTAAATAATATCATATCTATTTTATAAAAAGATGTTTTATTTACATTTTAAAAAGAACCTCTTATTGGTTTTTAATTAATTTCGACAATTTTTTAATAAAAATGTTCGCCATTTGAGGTCCACCATTTTGAATTTTGAAATTCTTATTCCAGATTCATTATCAGCGACCACAAAAACCCCTGTATGGTGATTTTTAATTTATTCCGTCAATTTTTTGACAAATATGTCCGCCATTTTAGATGTACCATTTTGAATTTTGGAATTCTGATTCCAGATTCATTACCAGCGATCACAAAAATCACTGTATGGTGATTTTCAATTTATTCCGTCAATTTTTTGACAAATATGTCCGCCATTTTGGATCTACCATTTTGAATTTTGGAACTCTGATTCCAGATTCGTTATCAGCGACCCCAAAAACCTCTACATACGGATTTTGGGAGAATCCGTCTACTCCTTGATATTTTGCCGAAAATTTCGAGAATTGAAACACTGTGCGCTGGGACAAGTCACATATAATATATTATGTTTAATTAACAAAATGCAACCAAGCATGTTTAAATATGATTTTAAAACTTAAAAAGATAAAATAATAATATAAATGTGTGATATTTAAGAGTCACAAGGACACTCGAAAAAAATATAAATCATTTGCTGACATTCTTCATGGTGCCATTTAACACATTTCGTAAATTATCTCATGTCAGAGGTACCGTGGTATTTCTGCAGGGGGTTATTTTAATGATTTTTTTTGACTGCATATAAAGTTGCAAACACATTTTTTTTTAAAGATAGGTTTTATAATAAATATTCTTTTGTCGCGTCGCACATAGGGGTATTTGAACTATCTGGACGGTCTTAATTATTTTTAGTTACAAAACGTCTTTAAACATGATCACTATAAATAATATGATCTAAAAAGTAAATATAAGTAAAGACGTACGTGTGTTTGTAAGTTAATACCTTTTTGAGAAGTAAAACAAACATAGAACAATTTTTGAAATAAAATTTATTTTATCAAATTTTGTAAATTAAATATTTAAATATCTTTATCCAAAAAGTTTTTAATATCACTATCTTTAACATTCGGCATTGCTGGTAAAAGAAGGTCAATTGTTTCTGGCAAAAAAGAGTTAAATTTTCTTTTTTTTACTATCCTCATGCTACTTAAGAGGGGATCGGAACTTAAAAGTAATCTATTAAAAACATCTCTGTTATAGTTTTCCCTTGAAAATTTCCTAGCAAAGTTTTGGCGATAATTTCTAAAATGTTTGTTCCGCGCTTCCGCAGCCTCTTCTGAAAGCTGCCCAATAGGCAGAAACGCGTTTTTAATAATAACTGCACCATGAACAAGTATTTTGTGCATCGTGGGGGTCATAGGATGCCAAGGATAAAGTTTTACATACAAGCGCGCAGTATCTTGAGCATACTTGTCAAATTTTTTTTCATCAATTAAATGTCCACTTGAAATAGTTTCGAGTATAACCTTTAATCTGTATATAAGTTCATAACTAATACCAGTTATTTCAGAAGCCAATGTAGGGTCTTCAAAAAATCTGCGACTCGTATTTCCATCATTTGTGTTGCCGAAATTTGCCTTTGGCATATTAATCAAAAGACCTTTCTCTTTCCGGAATCTTGCCTGAATCTCCAATTTTCTTTCTTTTTCAAGCTCTTTTTCTTCTTCACTTTTTCTCTCTCTGTACTTTTTTACGGGCAATTTATAAGTCAAATGAATTACACTTTCAAATAAACGAATTCGTGCATGTAAGACAGACAGCCCAAACTCTGTTGCTTTCAGGTTAATGTCTTTATTAAAATTAAACTGATTAAAATCTTTGGATGTTGCACCGCATATGTAGCATCGACTTGTTGATTTTGTTCCAGTAGCAGCATTGCACACTTTTCCGTCAACCATTGTCATTATAAACACATAGTTCACTTTAAATTCTTTCCCGTTAAAAAAAACTTTTGTAGCTTTAAGTGAGTTAGCTGATGTTCCAATATAATTGATTTCCTCCTCTGTAATGGGACGGCAATATCGCGGAGAAGAGGGGGTAGGGTTTTCCCAAACAATTTTAGCGCCATTTTCACCGCATACTAATCTTAAAGGAACGAAACAGCTTTGGAAAATATTGGCATCAGAGTTTGCATCATTTTCAAATTTTTGTTTATATTGCGTTTGCTGAGAGCCATCACAACCCCATTTGCAAATAAGTTTTAGACTATCACGTTCATGTTTTTTTAGGGTTAAGAGAACTTCCTCTAAAACTATTGATAAACTCTTCATCGTAAGATCAACCAAAGATTGTAAGTTGCTTTCAGCTCCAGTACTTGATACCCTGCATTCCTCTTGGGGTGGATAGCATTCTCGTTTTGCTTTTTGTATAAGGCTATAACATGGATAAAAGTCTTTGTTAGTATTTCTTACTACTTCATATTGTCGCCTGGTTAGATCGGCTTCTATAAACATTGCTAATGCTTGCAAAGGTGTGAGAGAGGCAGGTTTGACGCTTCTTGATTCTGATAATGCCCTTTTATATTTGGTTACACGTGTTGGACTAGTAGTAGTTATATCTTTAAGTATAGCTGCAGCATCTCGTTGTCCACTTTTGTTTAACTCAACCTGAGCAGCATGAACAATGACTTCTTTGACTACAAATGATCGAATTTCGTCTGTTTTTTTTCGCTTAGTCCTTTCAGTACACTCTGAAAAAGTTTTGTGTGGACGGCCTGACCGATTTTGAGCAACCACGGGTATATCAAAGGTTCCTTCTAACCACGAATTGTTATTTTTTCGGAAAATGGATTTAAAGCGCGAGAAATGTTGTTTTAAACTCTTAATTTGGTTATCCGAATATCCTTCAAATGACAAAAGTTTCTTTTGTAAGAAATTTAACTTTTCTTCCAAATTAGGCAAGTTTTGCATCTGCATTTGATTAAATAAATATTTACGGGTAACAACTCTTACTCCCGATATATTTTGTTGACCTTAAACAAAAAGAATTTAATTTAAAATACATGAAACATTAAATCACGATTTTCATAACATTTTGGAGTAGAAGTTAAATTTAAGATTAGACTGCTCATCCGGGATTATCCGGAACAGTTTTTTTGTTTACCTAGTACCTAAAGCTTTAATCTTTTAAATAAACCTAAAATTATAGCAGGATCTAGCTGGGAAGTATAACAAAACCTTTCGTCAAATGAAAAAAAAACAAAAAATTACACTTTAAAACACATTACATTCAAAACTCTAAAACTATACTTAAATCCTATAAAAGTCATTTATATTACATAATAAAATAAAGATTATTACCTTCTCTACCAGAATCCATCACTTCTTTTTTAATTAAAAACGAATTGTCAAACATTTTCACAGTTAAAGTTTATCTTTACGCAAAAATGCCGAAAACAGACACGTACACCATATTTGACAACTGAGTTTTGACAGGCCCTGAGAGCGCTGTGTTCACTGTAGAAAAATCTAAAAGGTGGGGTAGTATTCTCAAACAAGTTGCCTAGCCCCCGGTAGCCGCTTTTTTCAAAAATCTTTATTAAAAAAAAATGAATTAATACCGCCCAGATTGTTTAAATCTCTGTATGTGCGTCGCTTTTGGCATCCCACCTGCCTCACACAAAAACCTTCAACATTTTTTTTCGCTAAATTATGATGATTTTGATCTCGAAAGTCGGAGCCGTTATTTGCCACCACAAATAATATTTTAATTTTTAAAAGTTTGTTATATCAACCAAAAATTATTAATAATTAACTCAGGTGGGCTTGGTCAGTGCCTGAGCACTATTTTGTATAAGCGGAATTATTTAATATAAAATCGCTTTGATATTATATTTAACTAATTTACATTTCAGAGTTTAAATAGTATATTAGGTATTTACCAAGTTTGATTAATTTGATAATTTAAGTTAACACGTTAACTGCGGCACGTGTCGTAATGGGTCTGTCTTTATGTCAGTGCGACAGCAAAGTCAAGCTGAAATGCCTTATGTGCTAAATCGATAAATTAATAAGTTCCACACCGATTTAAACGTAACAGGTAGCTGTAAGTCTGATTTTAAAAAGAGCGTAATAAGATGTCACTACTAAATTGTAACATGCCCCCAGATGCATGTGCCGCACAGCACTAATGTCTATTCTGTGCTAATGTTTTATATTTTCTGTGCGGCCCATGCATCCGGCGTCATTGCACCAGTGCACTGCAGTGTTGCCGTTTGAAAGTATTTTAGCCGAATCGAGTATCTTTTATTGATTATTAATTTTTGGCAATTACAATAATTATTTCTTAAAAAAATTACAATGATTTACATCCTCAACTTAGTTATACATCTATATGTATAAAGGTAATAATTTTTGGTATATTGTGTGTGCTGAACAAGCCCCTGAAGGCATGTCCTATTAAAGCTGAAAGTAGGATTACCACTTGAATAATAAATTTTAATAAAAATTCCATTAAAAAATTTCAACCTTTCTTACTGGAGGACTCTCTAAACATACTATAAACATGCCTATGGAGACACGGGCGTTAAGGAAGGTGACATGCCGCCGGAGGCATGTGCACAATAAAAATTGAAATCATCAAATTACCTTTCGCAGTTAAGTTCGGCACGAGCGAGCTTGCGGGCAAGTGTTTAATTAAATGAATGAATAAAAAAAAAATTATATTCAAAAATAGAATAACCGTAAGAATGGGAATCTGTATTACCAGCGGCAAATGTCAAATTTTTCTGTGTAAATCGAAATTTATCCCTTGAAATGGACTAACAACCTTTGAAATCCGATATATAAGCAGTAAAGAGTCTCCTCCCGAAATTTTTAATGCTTTATCCGTTAAATGTGGTTTACTGCCTGCCACAGTCTTATATAAGACCGTGCTGCCGACGAAATAAAACGTTTTAAATATTTGCGTTGAGAAACTAATTAATACTTTTGAATTTTTGTATTAAGATAAGACTTTAATTTTCACATTAAAGTAGTATTATTTCACAAGAAAGGCACTTTATTTTAACGATTGCACTGTGGGCCCAATGTCCAAACTAGGTTGCATTAATTCAATTTTTTTTCAATTTACTTAAAACTTTAAAAATAATTAAACTTTGAGACTAACCAATGCTGGTAATTAATTATATAATTTATTTTTTCATTTTCCAATGTTGCCACGTTAGTATTTTTGGAAATTAATTTATAAAATACAGGATTATCTTCAAATAGTGTAAGAAACCATGCCAACGTTATCTACGGATCAAAATCAAAAAAGTCGATTTAACCCAAATTACCTATATACTAAGTTGCTTCGTTTAGTCGTTAGAGGCCTTTAAAGTTTTAACTATTTTTTTAAATATATTAAGATAATTAAAAACGTATTAATGAATTTTGAAAATTTTTGGAAAATAAGTTTTAACTGCCAATTAACGTCGTTTGGTGCTACACTCAGTTATCCTTAAAAATTAAAATTATCAGAAAAGCAAAGTTAGGTATTAATTTTCGCTTGTATTTTTTTTACTGTTGTAATGGTTACCAAAAAACTTTTTTGTCTCTTGTAAAAGTTGGATGAGCGGTGTAGCCCAAAAAAAATATTTTGTAATGTCTGCATACCTACCTACTATCGATATATAGCGATAGTTTTATGTTTTATCCCGAAAATTATTGAACATTATAAATCTAGAGATTCCTTTTTTGCTTCGTTTAGCAGATAAAAAGTGAAATACCTACAGAGTGTTGGTAATAGTCAAATGGTGTATAAGGAGGAGGGTTTTCGCATATTTTTTCGGTCACTTCCGGTTTCACCGGAAATGGGTCCTTGTTCAAAAAATTAAATAGAAACCCCTATATATTTACATTTTTGGATTCTTAACATAATTTTGGACTTAAATGTGATTTTTTAATGCCTTTTGAGCAATTTTTAACAATGCATCTAGGCCACCTTGATGTAATATTAAAAACGGATAAAAAGAATAAGTAGGCGTAAACACTTTTAACAAATATTAAACGCCATGTATATAATTTGCTCATTGCCCAAGCAATACGTGCGATAAACAACTTAAGATGCATATTAATTGTTAATATTTTCTTTTCTCAGAGGTTTACTGGGATAAGTTTCGCGATTTTTTGCGATTTTTTTGGTTAACAGTTTTTAGTAGTCTACATCTTTGTCTAATAAAAAATATATATTTTGTTTTGGCATTCGTTGGCCTTCCTATTTTTTTACTCTGCAAAACTTAAAAAATTAAATATTCATGGTAATTACCTTATCAGTTCCTGCCAAAAACAAAAAAAAAACACGAATTTTCTATAATTTTATGTACCCAACACAACTAATTGACAGGTCTAATTTCAGTTATGGAATGTTTAAGGCGACTTTTGCTTTTCACGGCCCTCGAAGCTATAAAAAAATTCGCAAAAATCGTAGTTTTAATTAAAACGATTGCATTAAAAATAGACTTTCTTTTAAAGATCTGACATTGGGCATTTATAAAAAAGTCTTCGTAGAGTATTTTCAAAAAGCAATTATGTTTTTACAAGTTTGAATATGTTTTTAATAAAACAATAGTTGCAAATTATACATTTTCAATAATGACTTATTGCAACCTAGTTTGGGCATAGGGCCCACAGTGGATTGTAGGTATAACATTTGACAATTGCCAACTAACTTAAAGCTAACTTCAGCCCGTGACTTAAAACCTATAAGGCTTATAAGCCCATAGCTGACAAGCTATGTGTATTTAAAAGATTACTTAGTGTCATGGAAACATGTACGATAATGGGCGTTTTAAAGATGGGAGTAGAAAAAAAATAGAAGTTATAAACTTTTCGAGATGGTAGGTGCGCTATTAGCACAAAATGTGTTCTTATTTAATACACTGCTTTGGTTGTGGTCGACGATGATGTGTGCTAACTAAGCTAGCACCATGAGCCTAAATGTGACTAATCTTCCAGACGTTATTTTTAGGAGTAGGTACTTAATTAGTAGTAGTTAGTACTTAATTAGAAATGTGTACATACCGCATGTATGTCAGCGCCCACATGCTCTGAATATATTCATAAATATTTTTTTTCTGAGTTGTGTAATGCCTGTTATAAATTGACCCCAAATGTTTGACACTGGATTCGTTAAGATTTTACTTGAATCTGCTGTCTTAAATCTTAATTTAAAAAAGAGTTATAAATACGATTTTGCCTGCCAAATTATAACTTTATAGAGCAGGGCTCTCCAACTTCAAGTAAATAAAATTTATAGAAAATGTTATTTAAGTTTTTAACCCTATTGCAAAATAACGAATAACATATAACCGTAAATGCTTCTTTTTCGGCCTAGTCCCTAAAAGTCGTCATGGCAACCTTTACGGACTATTCCAAAATTCCAACTGTCGACGGTTTGAACGTTTGTGACTGTAATTTAAGAGAGTATTTTAATTTAAAAGCCTCAAAATACATGTTGCTTAACTAAGTATTTAGGTTTTTAAATGTTTACTTACTTTCTTGTGTAAATAATTTAGCAATACATCTTTATTTACAACGAGTACGCCATTTTCGTGTTTCCATTCAATAAAAGCATCATAATCTTTATGGTAAATGGCACGAGACTTTACAGGAAGTAAATCCAACACGATTTATTGGGCCTTATTAGCAATATATTCGGGATTATAAAATTTATGTGACTTTCTAAAAAATTTGGAATAACATTACAAAATTATTAAATCAACAAACTTGTTGCTACGATATCAATTATTTCTAAACTTTTTCAATTTAAAAATTATGGACAATTTGCAAATTTAAGCGTTCTGAAAAATTGTAAAAACTTATGACAAAAAATAGTGTTTGTCACACCTACCTAAATAAAGTTTTTTGGGACTAATCTACTATTCCGGACTCGGCGAACGCCTCGTCCGGAAACAACAATGATTCGTCCTAAAAAA